AGCCAACACAACCCTACAACATCCAGAGCCTTAATGAACTCAGGGGGGATCTCATCCACCCCCAGGGCCCTGCCACCGAGGAGCTTTTAGACCACCTTGGTGACCTTGTCCCCAGAGATCGGAGAGCCCAACCCAGAGTCCCCCGGCTCAGCTTCCTCAGCAGAAGGCATGTTGGTGGGATTGAGGAGGTCTTCGAAGTATTCCGCCCACCGGCCCACAACGTCCCGAGTTGAGGTCAACAGCACACCATCCCAACTATAAACAGTGTTGGTGCTGCACTGCTTCCCCCTTCTGAGCCGCCGGATGGTGGACCAGAATCGCCTTGAAGCCGTACGGAAGTCTTTCTCCATGGCCTCTCCAAACTCCTCCCATGCCCGAGATTTTGCCTCAGCGACCACCTGAGCCGCATGCCGCTTCGCCCGCCGGTACCCATCAGCTGCTTCTGGAGTCCCACAGGCCAAAAAGGTCCGATAGGACTCCTTCTTCAGCTTGACAGCATCCCTCACCGAAGGTGTCCACCAACAGGTTCGAGGGTTACCGCCGCAACAGGCACCAGCAACCTTGCGGCCGCAGCTCCGATAAGCCGCCTCGGCAATGGAGGCACGGAACATGGTCCATTCAGACTCAATGTCCCCCACCTCCCCCGGAACGTGTTCGAAGTTCTGCCGGAGATGGGAGTTAAAGCTCCGTCTCACAGGGGACTCCGCCAGATGTTCCCAGCAGACCCTCACTACACGTTTGGGTCTGCCAGGTCTGACCGGCTTCCTCCCCCACCACCGGAGCCAACTCACCACCAGGTAGTGGTCAGTAGACAGCTGCACACCTCTCTTCACCCGAGTGTCCAAGACATACGGCCGCAGATCCGATGAAACGATCGCAAAATCGATTATCAAACTGCGGCCTAGGGTGTCCTGGTGCCAAGTGCACATATGGACACCCTTATGCCTGAACATGGTGTTCGTGATGGACAATCCATGACAAGCACAGAAGTCCAACAACAGAACACCACTCGAGTTCAGATCGGGGGGGCCGTTCCTCCCAACCACGCCCCTCCAGGTCTCACTGTCATTGCCCACGTGAGCGTTGAAGTCCCCCAGTAGAACAAGGGAGTCCCCAGGAGGGGCACTCTCCAGTACCCCCTCTAAGGACTCCAAGAAGGGTGGGTAATCCGAACTGCTGTTCGGCCCGTAAGCACAAACAACAGTCAGAACCCGTCCCCCCACCCGTACGCGGAGGGAGGCTACCCTCTCGTTCACCGGGGTAAATGCCAACGTGCAGGCACCGAGATAGGGGGCAACAAGTATACCTACTCCTCCTCTCACCGTGGGCAACTCCAGAGTGGAAGTATGTCCAGCCCCTTTCAAGGAGACTGGTTCCAGAACCAAAGCCATGCATCGAGGTGAGGCCGACTATTTCTAGCCGGAACCTCTCAGCCTCGCACACTAGCTCAGGTTCCTTCCCCACCAGAGAGGTGACGTTCCACATCCCAAGAGCCAGCTTCTGCAGCTGAGGATCAGACCGCCAGGGTCCCCTCCCTCGGCTGTCGCCCATAACACACAGCACTCGACCCCTTTGGACCCTTCAACAGGTGATGAGCCCATTGGAAGGGGGACCCACGTCTCCTCTTCAGGCTGAGCCCGGCTGGGCTCCGAGGGTCAAAGCCAGGCGCTCGCCATCGTGCCCCACCTCCAGGCCTGGCTCCAAAGGGGGGCCCAGGTGACCCGCGTCCGGGCGAGGGAACGCCAGATTCAAAGTTGTTTTCTGTCATAAGGGGTCTTCAGGCTGCACTTTGATTCCTCACCTAGGACCTGTCTGCCGTCAGCCAAGGCAGACAATATATAGCTAATATTAGCACTGTAGCTAATATTAACTACAATGCTAATATTAACACTGTAGCTAACATTAGCTGGTATCTCACCGGTGGACATAAATAAAGTAAAGTAATATTCTAATCACAAAATACACACACACACACAATATCAATATCAATATGTTTGTGCTTCATCTGCTCACTCAAAGTTGCATACACAGAAATAGTTATTCATTTACAGGCACATTCACCACAACCAATTACAATTTATTGAAATTACTTTAGAGTTTTTCTGAGTGAGGAACTTTAAATGACGTAAAGCAGCAAAAGCTCTGCTAAAAAAATCCAAACATTTTTCTTGATACAGTAGAAGAATTAAGTATTTAACACTGCCTTTAAATGCTCCGTCTTTTTGTGCAGGTGATTGTCCAGCGTTGCCTCTCAGGCAAGAGTCTCTCTCATGTGAAAGCAGGTTGCATTTTGTGTGGTTACCTGAAGGTGCTGCCCATGTTTCTCATGGTTTTTCCTGGGATGATAAGCAGGATCTTGTATCCTGGTGCGTGTTTTTCTGTTTCCAAGTTCTGTTGTCTTGAGCGAAAAATCTGGTGTAAAACAACAATAAA